TCTCCCAATGCTGAGATGATGGCAACTAGAGGTCCTCTGGTAGCATAGTGCCTAAGGCACTTGACTGCTAACCAGAAGGCTGGCGGTTCAAACCCACCAGCCACTCCTCGGAAGGAAGATGGGGCAATCTACTTCCGTAGTGATACTACTTCGGAAACCCAAGGAGGGGTCGTTACGAGTCAGGTCTGACTTGACGGCACATAACAACAACAACAGAGGTCCTTGAGGTGATTTTAGGTCTAAGGTATATTGTTAGCTTTTCACAATGTTGTTGTGTAGATAGACAGGTATGCAGTCAGATGGAGGATTTTACATTAAAATCTGGTTTGCTGGTTTCTCTTGGAAAATCTGGTGATCTGTCAACTCTCACATGTCTAGAATTGGCTGGAGCTGAGGGGAACCTCTTCCTTAGGCAGAGCCAGCACTCTAGGCAGTTACCTGACAAGATCACTTTGAAGGAGATCTGTGCATTTGCAGAAAAGATCTCCTTTCTCAGGGAAGAGGTCTCCTCTCCTACAAAATGAAAATACTGAGCCAGAATTAGTTTAACCAGGATCCACTCACTGAGTCTAGAAACAAACCTAAAGTGTGGCCGGTTGGTTGTGATCTGCCCACTCATTGGCTCTCAGCAATGAGGCAGATCTGGAAAGAGCTGTCCTAGTGACTTCCTGCCAGGGGCAGGAAGCCTTTTGCTGAAATGCCCTTTGGCAGTTTGATGAAGCCCCAGACTCATTCTCCGATTGTTTTTAAATCCACAAAATAAAATACAGAGAACACCAATATGTTGAAAATACAGCTATCAAAATATTGCAAAACAAATTTGTCATATAGTAATATTTTTACTTCTCTATGGGAGCTCTGGTAGCATAGTGGCTAAGACACTTGACTGCTAACCAGAAGGCTGGCAGTTCAAATCCACCAGCCACTCCTGGGAAGAAAGATGGGGCAATCTGCTTCCAGAGTGATACTGCCTCAGAAACCCAAGGAGGGGTTACTATGAGTCGGTTCCGACTCGACGGCACATAACAACAACAACATTAATACAGCAACTAGCAGGATCTAGCATCTGAGCTAATAGTGGAGTGTAAACAATATTTTAAAACATCTTCAATAGCAAAATGTGATATGAAAATACTTGTGATTTTTAACAATGGCAAAGTCACAAGTACTGATATATGAATATGGTTTGTGGCCTCTATTCATAATTAAAGGAAATGATAAGTTTTAATTGACAATGAAAATAAAGATGTAAATTGCCAGGCCCCTACAATCTATTCAGAGACCCCCAAGTTAAGAATTCTTACCCCAGTACCACCCAAGAGAGCACATTAACTTTGCTACTTGGGTGTAGGGGTGCACCTAAGATTTCAAGGCCCTAGCAGTTCCCCTGAGTCAGGGAGTTGGACTTTTATATTGTGAAGAGGGGGCATGGAAGTGCATATGAAACCCAAAAGTCATGGCCAAAGACTGACAAGTTGAATTGCATATTTAATATTATATTTTAAAAATTACATGTGTTGAAAAACATAACAAATGAGGTTAAAAGCAAAGAACAGAATGAAAAACTTACAACATAATAATTTGCTGTAGCATTGGATGTTCTATTAAAATTAGAGTCAACTTAAATGTCCACCCATTTGGTATTGATTAACTTCTTGTTGTTTGCAGTCAAGTCAGCCCCGACTCATAGCGACCCCTCCTTGGGTTTCCGAGGCAGTATCACTACGGAAGTAGGATTGCCCATTGATTAACTAGATTATAGTATATCCTACAGTGAAACACTATGCAACCATTTTTTTTTTTTTTTTTTTGTCTGCAATACCTTCACCTTCATACATTCTTTTTTCTTTTCTTTTCTCTTTTTGAAATTGTGATTTGGGTGAAAGTTCACAGAGCACATTGGTTTTCCATCCAACAATCCATAAGCACTGTTTTGTGACATTCACTGCAATCCCCAGAATGCAACAGCATTCTTCCCACTTCCTCCCCGCACCCACTCCTTCCTTTCATCCTTCCTTCTTATCCCCTTCCTCCTTTCCTAGCTGTATCTGTGGGTAGATGCTGCCATCTTGATCTCATATGGTTAATTGTAATGAATATGCAACCATTTTAAAGAACTAAATTATATCCAGGTGTGCTAATGAAAAAAGTGTGCCCACTTTATTATTGAAGTGAAAAGCAACTTACATAAAAAATGTGTATCCCATGATTCCATATGAATGGGAAGAGTGACATTCAAAGCATTTAGCAACTAGTCTGGCACAGGTATCAACCAATCAGCACTGAAGGTGGCCTTAGTCTAGAGCAGGAAAGTAAATCACCCTTTAGTTGCTGCATTTGAGGTTCTAGGAGAAGAGCCAGGACAGACAAGGTGGTAGTGGGGGGCACTCGGAAGGCTTGTGGTCCACACTTCTTACCAAAAAGCAGGAGTACATATACAGAGAAAAAATAACAGACATATGCCAACCTTGACAGTGGTACAAAAGGCACTTTCACTTTTTACTCCATATAATCCTGTTTGAATTCTAAGAATAAGTGTGGGATTTGAAATAAAAATGTTAATACAGGACAAAACAAGAGCATGAGTCTATTTGCAAAATGTAGCATGCCATAAACATTGCATAGACTCAGAAGGACAGAAGGAATTGCAGGTTCATCTTGTCCCCAGAACTCCACATTTCTTACTTCACTACTCTTATTTCTTTGCCCAATCCCCATTACCACCATGTCTTGAAATATTTTTTTCTACTAAAAAAACTATATTTATTAAGTAAGATGTTATTATTTCTAGATTTTATTAATCAAAAACATATTTTACTGACAGGTACAGCCCCCAACAAACATCAGACTATCATTATTGTCACAGTGATTTCATATAATCACAGCCCAGCATAAAGAAACATGGCATTCAAGTTGATCCCATCAGAAGAAAATTCACGTATTTTTGAAATATTGGAAATATTTCTAATAAAACCACTTAAAAACCCTAGTGGTGGGAACTGTTGGTTGAAGAACCATTTGTCATTCGTTCTCCAGATGTGGAAATGCAATCCAGTGCATCTGACCGTTCCCCTCCTTATGAGGACTGCCTTTAGAATCCTCTCCTGTGGAGATAGTTCATGTTTTGGTTACCTAGTGATGCTCTAACAGAGATATACCACAAATGGGATGACTTTAACAAGCAGGAGTTTATTCTCTTATAGTTTGGAGGCCGTAAGTCTGAGTTCAAAGTGCCAGGCTCTAGGGGCTAGATGAAACCCCCTTGAACTTGGGCTTCAGCTCTGCCTCCTGCTCCCAGTCCACTGGAAAACAAAAAAGCTGGAGGGGTTTCCTCACTCAGGCAGCTGCTGGCTGTAGAGGCTGACAAGCCCAAGGTTGACAAGCAAAAAGGCACAGTCCCGATGTTACCAAACAACACAGCTGGCCACTAATTCAAGTCCATTGAAAGTCCCAAGATCGGCAGGGCATAGCAGGCTGTTGAACAAAGACTTGGCTACATGCAGGGTTCAAGCATGCCAAAAGGCTGGACACCATTCCCAAGTTGTTTCTTATATACGGGAAGCAGACCCCATCACTAAAGCAGCTACTCAGCTGCTCGTAGAAGATTCCACAGTGGAGCTGATTGCCAGTCTCATATGGGGAATAACTACCTCCAGCTGCCCAGCCACTCAACCAGGCCCAGCCAAGTTGACAACAACCTTAACTGCCACATCAGGAAAGCTGAAAACCAGCAGGGGTCCCAGGGCACAACTCAGAGGACAGCTGAGGGGGCTGGCAGCAGGCTTCTGAGTGTGACCACAATGTCAAGTATCCTAGAGGCAAGAGCAAGTAGCTGGGGATAAATGAAGCCAGGGCAGAGACACAACTTGTGAGCCTTCTTTAATAAGACTGTCAGAAAAATAATTCTCAATGAGGAAGACATCAGTATGCCAAGAGATGGATGAATGTTGTTTGAAAATGCATCATCATTTTATATTTGGAGAAAAATACATTTTTTTTTTTCCCATAAAGCAAAGTACCAAAACTGTAGAAACTCTTGGTTTATCTCATGGAAAGAAGTAAAGTTTTATGTGAATCATGGTTTTTTTTTCAAAGTTTGAGTTTATAGTTTGCTTTCATGAGCCAATTGGAATAGAACAGATATGTGTGCATATTGGAAAAGGGTAGGGTAAGGAATAATAGACACCCAGAGGAGAGGAGCAGTCTATCCCAGGGGCATTTGGCCAGTTACTAGAAGGTAAGTGTTGGGAACCTTCTCATCTTAATCCAGCTATATTTTTAGTACCTAAAATAGTGGTTGGCACACAGGAGGGCTTTATTAATATTTACTGAATGAATGAATGTCAAAATCAGGACTGGAAATTAAGTCTTTATTTTTTTCCAGTCAGTGCTCTAACAGGTCCTGGAATTAATCTCAGAGTAGTAAATAGAACATAGAGCAAAATCGTTAGGGGCTTATCCAAGCATCCATTTGCTCTTCCTCCTTCAATTTCCCAGCATCTCTTGCAGCTACATTCTGGACAGTGAGATGTAAGGAGAAGCATTATATGGTACTTCCAACAAGGGAGTGTGCCTTTCTTCCTCCCCTCAACCTGTAGCCTGGAATGCACACATGATGAGATGGAGGTCAAGCAGTCAACAGGGACCATAGATCATGGACACTAAGGATAACATGCAGAAAGATGCAAAAAGCCTGGGTCCCACATGCCTGCAGGGTCACCATGCCAGCCCTGACTTGTCTGCCTTCAGACTTCTTTAAATGAGATAAAATATGCCTCTAAGTTTTATAAGCTACTGTTCTTCGGAATTTCTCTATTATAGGCAAGAAATCTAATCCTAACAGATATGTGGTAAGCCCCTAGCTCCCCAGGAAAAGTGGAGATCAAGTGAAAGTGTGGCACTCCAGGCAGTGTCCATTTCCATGCTATCACAGCAGCAGCCCAGCATAGAGTCTATTTGTTGCCTGAACCCAGGTTCCCAGTCACCAACTGCTCTGGGCCTTAAATCAGATCTCTGTAAGTCCTGGGACAGTGCTTGCGGTAGAGATTTTCCACCAATGTGTTGCTTCCTCTAACCACGGCCCTCCTCTCCTTGTTCATGTAATTCCACAAATGGAGGGCATAGGAGTCATTGAAGCTTGGTTCTGTGTCCCATACAGCATAGTAGCGCCTCCACTCTGGGTAGGAGATGGGGTAAAATCTCTGGGGGTGTAGGAAGGACATGTTCATACACCTGAGGTCACTCACCTCCTGGAAGTCTCTAAGTTTGCACCACAACTTCAACATCCTTGTCATCAAATTGGGGCCCTGGTTGCCCCAAATGTCTGCATTGTAGTGTTCAACAAAGTTTTCCATGCAAGCCCACAGGAAGGGGTGGTGTGGGAGAAACCCAAACACCCCATTACTAGAGTCCTGAGAGGCCTGTGCAGCCAAAAAGTTCTCCTCAGGGATGGGCCTGATGGAGATGACATCGGTGTCCATGTAGATGCCACCATATTTCCAGATGATGGCAAGGCGGGATGCATCGGAGCTGACGTGGAGCCAGTTTCTCTCTGCGCTGCTGTTGATCTGCAGGAGCAGGTAGAAATCAGGCCCCAAGTAGCAGGGGCGGGGGGGGGCGGAGTGAGTGTCACAGGAGGAGGCTGGGCCCAGGGCAGCTTGGGGGAAAGCAAGCCAGTTCCCCAAAACTCTTTGCCAAAAGCCTAGTTTTGCAAATGTACCAAACTTGCCTCCATTCCAAAAACTTGCCTTTAAATAAAAGGTTACAGCGATCAATATTGGTGGGAAGATTTCAGCAACTTGTAAGGACTTCATGATACGGGCGGGGGGTGGGGGGAGTGCAGAATTAAGCAGTGGAAACGTAAGAAGAAACCCAGAAGGGATTTCATAATGAACAGTATGAGTCATTTTTCAATGTGGGTGTAAAACAGCTATAAAACATGAAAGTGTAAAGGATCAAAAAAAAGTTCTAAAAATGATTCTTTTAAAAAGCTCTACTACTATAGGAAAAATCAATATGTATGCTATTTGAGAAATCAGTAAAAGAATATGAAAATGTTTGCATGGATGCCTTCACTCATTTCTTAATGTTTTAAATAATACTTACTGAGGGCTGGTGTACTATGTGCCACTCCTTGGAAGGAAGATAGGGCGATCTACTTCTGTAGAGATATCGCCTCAGAAACCTAAGTAGGGGTCACTATGAGTTGGATCCTACTCCATTGGCAGTGAGTTTAGTTTTGAATACTATGTGCCAAACTCTGTTATAACTGCTAGGAGTACTGCAGTGAATAAAGATTTCTACTGCAAAAAGACAGACAATAAACAGATAAATATATAATCTGTTGGGCACTAGTAGGGAGTATAAAAGGGGAAAAAAAAAAAAGTGGCAGGGTTATAACAGGGGAAAACTGAAGCACTATCTCATATAGGATTCCAGTAAGGGCCACTTGAACAGAAACTTGAATGTACTGGGTGGGTGAACCCTACAGATATCTGGGAGAAGGGTGATTTAAGCAGAGGGAACAGTAAGAGGGGGGCCCCTGAGGCAGCAGCATGCTTGCTCTGCAGGAACAGGAAGGAGGTAGTGTGGCCACAGCAGATTATAGAAGGAGAGGGGTAGGACTCGAGATCACAGAGGTGTGAGGGTAGGGTGAGAGGACAGATCATGTAGGCAGGGTAAGGATTTTAAAATTATTTAGAAGGTTTGGAAGAAAGGAGTGATGTGATCTGAATTAGTCTCCAAAGGGTCACTCTGGTTACCATGTGAGAAATAGTTTTTTTTTTGGAGGGGAGGGGACAATGAGGGGCAAAGGCAGAGGCCAGTTAGAAGGTGTTGAAAGAATTCAGGCAAGAAATGATGGTGGTTTGGACCAGGGTGATAAAAATGGAGGGAAGAGGAGAGGTCAGATTCTGGGTACATGCTAAAGAAAGAGCTAGTCAGGATTTGCTGATGGACTGGATGCAGGGTGAGACAGAGAGAGGAGTCAAGGATGACAGCAAATACAAAATGTGAGCAAACAGGAAATGACTTTTAAAATCACTCTAAATGGCCATGTTCCTCTATGGAATGCTAAAATTTTGAATACAGAAAAGAAAATATATTCTTCAGAGCTCATACACTGATTAAAAAATTAAATATTAACCCTTGATTTTGACAATATAAAGCATTCTTTAACATTCTACTATAAAGCCAAATAAAAGAAGGCTTTGCAGAAATCTTCACACAAGTTGTTAAAAAATCATCACAGTCTATACAACTGCTGACAACCTCATGAATAACACTTATCAGGAACTGTGTCAAGCCCTTTAAAATCTATACAAATCTTCAGAGATAAGTTCCTCTTATTTTTTACATGAAAAATTAGAAGGACTAAGAAGTTCAGTTATGTGCTCTAGGAAAGAAAAGCAGAGGCAAAATTTGAACCCCGGCACTCTGGGTTCAGACAGGCAGTCTGGAGACCCACTCAAGCAAAAGAAATAAACAAGTAAATTTGTAAATAAGTCAATTTGATTATTTGATAAGTTGGTGATTGTTAGTGAATAGACACAGAGCCACTGGGCAATTGAATACCAAAATCTTCACAGAACCAGAGGAAGAAGTCTACCTCTATGTGAGCATTGAACTAATGTCAGCCTAAAATACATGAGCTCCAGCAGTGGTGAGTATGAGTACAGAAAGGGATTTCAGGTTCTGGCTTCTAAGAGTACAGTTTGTCCCATTCCCACCTCACTCCCATAGTAATATCCTTGAGCATCTTCAAGGTCTACACTTGTCCAATTGAGGTCATCAGCAAATGATGGCACATTGGGTCCTATGGTGGCCTAATGGAAACAGAACATGCCATAGCCCAGCACCGTAAGGGTATAGTGATGTGGTTGCTGTAGGTGCATACCTGGCATGATATCATGCAGCTCAGATGTAGGAGATACTTAAGGGTTCTGCATCCCAACATCCATGGAAAAGGGTGTACCTTGCTCCTAAAATCCAACCCAGTAAAACTGAGGCCCAGCTTAGAGCAACACAAATGGTGCTCTATGAAATATTAGTTTCAAGAAAATATTTATGAGTTATGAGGGAGAGTTCCATACTCAAATAAGTTTGAAAAAAATGCTGGGTTAAACCAAGTTAAAGTTTCTTTAGTTCAACACTAAATAGAGCTTTTAATATGCTCATATACGTAGTTAGTCTGTAAGGAAAGGAAGTAGCATACAGCATCTCCCAAACTAATTTGATTAGAGATTTCTTTTTCCAAGGAGCAAAACACAATTTAGGTAATGTTACTCTAGCCTAGGTTTTGGGAAACATGGCCTGAGGGCTGGCAGCTTCCTATTTTTATACAGTCTTGGTGCAGTTAACTAGCTCAGCCTAAAGGTTAGAAGTTCAAGTCCAACCAGAGCCAACTCTGAATCTACTTCCAGAAACTCAGCCATTGAAAACCCTATAGAGCAAAGTTCTACTCTGACACACATTGGTTTTCCATAAGTCACAATCAACTCAATGGCAGCTGGTTGGGTTGTTTGGTTTTGGAGAACGGCTCTAGCAGGCTATCACTGTGAGCCTTAGAGAACAAGCCTGTGCTTCCCCTTCCATCTGGAACATCCACACTCCCAATTCCTGCCTCCTTGGCCAGCAGCCTACCTTGCTGCTGCTGCCCAGAGCCATGCTGGTCACCACTTACATGTTGGAGACTCTGATGTTGGCAATTTCTGGGGAACAAATGGTGGAATCTTAAACCAGTGAGTCATGCCACCAATGGCCAGCTCCCAATTTGGGGATTCCAGGCTCTGTAGACTCAACATGATCTCCGGGAGGTGAAACTGGCTCCCTTGGGATCTAGAGCTCACTGGGGCCAAATGAAATGAACCATGGAGTGAACCAACCACCCTCTACCTGTCTGGTCCCTGAGGCCCTTTCCCACCCCTGTAGGCGTGCCTTAGTCCAGAAAATGTCTCCAGTTTACAGCAACTAGGGACAAAGTGTGTGCCCACCATCGGGGCAGACTATCTATCTCGTCCCCAGGCAAATGAGGAGGGGTAGGGCAGGAGTTTTCTTTCTTATTATAGTACTTTACTGTAGTAGGTTAAATAATGGCCACCCAAAGATTTCAATAGGAGCTTTAATATCACTGTGGTTAAAAGCATTGGGCTACTAACCAAATAGTCAGAAGTTCAAACCTACCAGTTGCTCCGCAGGAGAAAGATGAAGCAGTATGCTTCTGTCAAGATTTGCAGCCTTGGAAATGCCATGGGGCAGTTCTACTCTGTCCTATCAGGTCCCTTTGAGTTGAAATTCACTCTATGGCAGTGGGTTTTGATTTTGGAAAGATTTCAGGTTCTAATCTCTGGAACCTGCAAATGTTACCTTATATGGGAGAAAGGTTTTACAGGTATGATTAAGTTAAAGATCTTGAGATAGGGAGATTTTTCCTAGATTATCCAGGTGAGCTCTAAATGTCATCACAAGTAACTTTTTAAGTGAGACACAGAGGGAGATTTCATACAGTAGAGAAAGGGATGTGAAGACTGAGGCAGAGTTTGGAGTGATAGGCTACAAGCCAAGGAATGCCAACAGCCAACTTAAAGCAAGGTGGAGGAATAGGCAAGGAATGCCAGCAGCCACCAGCATCTGGAAAAGGCAAGAAACCAGTTCTTCAGCAGGAACACAGACTTGCAGGACACCACCTGAGACTAATTTGGGACTTCTAGCCTCCAGAACTGTGAGAGAATAACTTTCTTTTGTGCTAATTCACCAAGTTTGTGGTAATTTGTTACAGCAGTCGCAGAAAACTAACACAAGTACCTACATAATATCCTCAGTTTTGCTTCTTGGCATGAAATCTAAAATACTTACTTTTTACAGAGGAAAAGTTTGCTGACCTTTTATCTCACTTATGATTAGAATTTAGATAGGTCTTTATATGGTAACCAAATAGTAATATTTTGATGTCAACGTTTAAGTTACTTTTTGGGTTTTTAAATAATTTTATTTGTAAAATTAGCATAGTCTCATCACTAAAATTCACATCTAATCCAACCATACTAAAACATCTACTATTATCATGTATTGTGTATTTTCTTCCAGTCTTTTTTTTTTCCCTATAAAATTATGTGTGGGGGTTGCATAGCTGAAATCATTATGATTATTATAATTACATTATAATGTAAGGGTTATGTTTGTAGTCTTCATAAAATGTCATATTTAAAGCCTATATAGTTTATAGAGTAATCATTGAGTGCTTGTACTATAATTTCCTTAAGTCATGCTTGATTGTGGGTTCTCTGAGAGAGATATTTAATTGAAATATTATTTCCTTATTATGTTATGCTACTAGGATGAAGATTACAAAATTCTTACAAGCTCCAGGAGTTTCTTGATCTTATTTTAATGCAATCCAATCTCATATAGCAGCACTCCACCTGATCCTTCATGCATTTTCTATTTTCATCATTTTCAAGTTAAATATTTTCTGTTTTCCCCCGGAGATGGAAAAAAGAAAAGATAGGTTTAAAAATGATAGTGAAAAATAAGTAATCTATTCACCTAAAAAAGATACAGAAACTCATCCAATTAAAGATAGTCTCTAAAAGAACCTATGTCTTAAAGGAAAAAAAAAACAAAAAACTGGAAGCAAAAGACACCAGAAACAAAAGATAAGCCTAACTTAAGTCTTTCCTCTTTCCTAGTTACCTGATTAAAGACTCAACATGGTAGAAAAAGGACCAGACAAGAATCAAAGGATTTCACTACTACATACACAGTACTGCACTGTCAGTAACAACAAACACTAGCCTATGGGTGGGTACAAAGGCAGACAGGTGAGAAGATCAGGGGATCATAGGCAAATGGGAATATGCCCAAGACCATGGATAGATTTGGCTGATGATATTTCTACATGTGTATTTGTGCTACAAAAGTATCCATGTACATTATAGAACTAATGGGACAAGATTGGCGTAGCTCCTTAGCCACAACCAGACACCTTGAGGGAGTAAGTCATTGGGCCTGCATGCTTGGGACCATGGTCTCAGGGGACATTAAGCTCAATTGGCACAACACAGTACATAAAAATATTGTTCTAGAACTTCTGGTAAGATGGCAGATTAGGTAGACAAGCTACACAGACCCTCTTCAACAAAGAAATGAGAAACCAATTGGCAGAGATACAGAAGATAATCCTGGAGCCCTGAGCTTTGAAAGGAACAATACAGAAGTGGATTAGGCACCAACTAGTAGAAAAACCTGAATGAAAAAAGTGAAAAGTGAGTACAGAGACAGGGCCATAGACTGTCAACTACTCTGATGGCACTGACAGCCTGAATATTTCCAAGTGGTGTTGGGACCTGAGAATTGACCTAAAGATCAGCCCTGGTCACCAAGGGCTGCAGGGATGACTGCGCTGGTAGCTGATGACTAGGAAGAGAAACAGCAAGGAGGTGTGGACTTTCAACTCTCCGGAGGGTGCAGCCATTTTGATTATTTACAAGTGGTGGCCATTTGGGATATTTAAAGTGACCGAGTGTGCAGCTATTTTGAATGTTTACAGTTGGTAGCCATTATGGATATTTAAAGTGACGGCATGCTCATTCAGATTCTAGGGACCTAAGAATAGGCTCCATTTGCCAAGGATGTCAGGGACATACGGGAGCCTGACAATGGGAAAGGAGACAAGTGATGAGTGTATAAGTGCTGTCAACTAGTGAATAGAGGAGCACAGTACCCTGCTTACATAGATAACATTCAAACAAAACAAAGAAAACAAAAATTGTGGTCAAGTCATTCCAATATACAATCATCAATTAAATATAAACACAAAAATGTCACAATGTCCTGGAGACAATAGAGCATCAGAGTCCACACAAACAAGCAAGATAAAGCAGGAGAAACAAGGGACCAGGATACAGACGTAAAACACATCCCTGAGGAAAAAGCAGCATTGGAATTCCCTTATAAGGAATTCAAAAGAATTATCTTTAGATACCTTCAAAGGATTGAGAGACAGACCAAAGAAAACACAGAAAAAACCTTACAAGAATTTTGGAAGAAAATACAAGAACAAAATGACAAAATAAATGAAAAATTAGAAATGATACAAAATTTACAGACAGAAATCCAGAAGATTAATACTAAATTTTCAGAAACAGATAACACATCGAATGGGCAAAGGAGTATAATTGAATCAGTGGAAGAAAGAATTAGTGAGATTGAAGACAAATACCTCAATACTTCTTTGGAAAGGGATCAATCAGAAAAAAGATCAAAACAAAGTGAAGAAAGTCTAAGGTTCTTGTGGGATACCATCAAAAGGAATAACCTACATGCAATTGGAATTCCAGAACAGGAAAAGACAAATAAAACCACAGAGAAAATTGTCAAAGATTATTGGAAGAGAATTTCCCCAATATGATGAAAGATGAGAATATATCCATTCAAGAAGTCCAACGAACCCCAAACAGGACAGACCCCAAAAGAAAAGCACCAAGACATATCATCAACAAACTCAGTAACCATGGACAAAAAAAGAATCCTGAAAGCAGCACACAAAAAATGAAAAGTTACCCAAAAGGGGCAACCAATAAGACTAAGCTCAGATTTCTCAGCAGAAACCATACAGATGACAAGTCAATGGGATGGTGTTTATAAAACCCTGAAAGAAAAATTTTCCAACCAAGAATTATATACCCAGAAAAATTGTCCCTCAAATATGATGGTGAAATTAGGACATTTCCAGATAAGCAGAAATTAAGGGAATTTGTTAAAACCAGACCCACATTACAAGAGATGCTAAAGGGAGCCCTTTGGACAGAGAAACAACAACAGCAAACAACCACCAACCATTAACACACATGATGACATAACCCAGAAACCAACTCAGTTATGGAAGTATCCAAAGTAAATAAGCCTACAAGATTGTAAACAGGGAACCACAGACATCAATTGAAAAATGAGGACAACTACAAACCAAAAAGAGGGAAAAATTTTGTAGCTACAGAACTTCTAAATGGTAGGGCAGTTGAGACCATTGCAAGATAGAATGGACTGTTCTAAACTTGGGAAGAAAATTATAAATCACAGGGTAACTTCAAAGAAAAATGATAAACCTTCACATCAAAATTAAAAAGAGGACCAGCACAAATAAAAATATTGTTCTACATCCTACTTTGGTGAGTAGTGACTGAGGTCTTAAAAGTTTTCAAGTGGCATCTAAGATGTAACTATTGGTCTCTCCTCCTCCAGAGCAAAGAAGAGTGAAGAAAATCAAAGACATATGGAAACAATTAGTTCAAGGAACTAATGGACCATTGGAACCTCAGCTTTCATGATCCTGAGACCAGAAGAACTAGATGATGCCCGGCTACCAATGCCAACCACTCAGAAAGTAATCAAAATTGGAGATCCTGGGTAAAGTGGGAGGAAAAATATGGAACAAAATTTAAAAACACAAAAATTACCAGAATTACTGGTCCAACAGAGATTGGTGAAACCCCCAAGACTATGGCCCTGTGTGATCCTTCAGGCCTAGAATTAGACTCACATCCATGGATTAGCTGTCAGCCAAACAATAGAAAGGCAGTGAGTGGAACATCCACCCCAGGGAGATGCATCTACTTCTGGCCTTAGACCAGCCAACTGCAAGCGATCAGAAGGGCAGAATTGCATAGAGGGGCATCTAGATAGACAGGAATGCATAGGTAAGAAGGACACAGGGAAGGGGTAGTCACAGGGGGAGATGGGAGGAGAGCTGTTTATTGTTGGGATTGTAACCAGTGCCATGAAGCAAAATGTGTATGAATTGTTTAGAGTAAAATAAAGCTGCTTTGTAAATTTGCACCCAAATCACAATAAAAAATTAAAATAAAAAGGAATCAAAGGGTTTATGTTCTAGTCCCATCTCTGACACTGAGTCCCTTACCCCCAATCTACCCATCTATAAGTTGGACTTGTTTATGTGGCCCCTCCCAATATGGACATTCTAAAATTCCCTAAACACTTACTTGAGTGTACCATGAAAATAGTGGTGTGTCTTCAAACAGCCTTTGCATATCCAAAGGGAAGAGGAAAACATTGTCTATTGCTGAGAGGAGGTAAAAGGCTGGGTGAGTGTCATTTGGGGGCAGCTGTGTGGAATTGTTGAGGGCCTTCATAAAGAATGCCACAGGCTGCTCAGGATAAATCCTGGCAGCTGATTCCACAGCACAGGAGACGAGTGGGGATGGCTCCATTCTTTCTGAGGTCTCCAGGAACACAATGCTGCGTTGGTGGCTCAGGAGGGCTTCTGGCCCCTGCTGGAACTTGTAGGTAGGCAGGCAGGAGAAGAAACAACTGGACTTCAGGGTCAGCTGGTAGAGGAAGCCACAGGCAAGCAGCAGAAAGACTGCCAGGGAAAGCTGAAGCTCCTTCAGCATGTCCATTTCTCTCCTCCAGCCTGTTGCTTAAAATCAACACAATTAATCGAAAACGGACATTTGCAAACCCTGGTGAAGATAGTGCACAAGAAAATAAATTGATACACTAATATCATTTATAAACATAGATTAAAAAAAAAAAAACCTTAAATAAAATCAAGTCTAGCAGTATTTTAAACAATGCATCATAACCAATTAGGGTCTATTTTAGGACTTCAAGAATGATTCAACATAGGGAAATAATTATTTTAGTTAATTGGAAAACTAGTAAGGGACTACATTACCTGAACAGACTAAAGAAGAAAAGCCATATAATAATTGGCTCAATAGATGACCAAAGAAAAGGAGGGAGAGATAAAATATGGCATCCATCCATGATTTTCAAAAGTAAAAGGAAATTTTCTTAAGCTGATAAACTGTCTATCAGAACAGATAGCAATCATTGTACATAATACGAAACTTTTCAAATATCCCCATCAAAGTTAGGAATATGATACAGAAGTTACGATTCGATGCCATTCTGATCATTTTAACTAATGTAATGGAATAAGAGAAAGTGATTTCTGCTACGAACGTTAGAAAGGAAAAGGCAAAATATCACTAGTTGCAGAAAATATAGTCTACCTAGAAAATCCAAAGTAATTTACTTAAAAATTAATAGAACTAGGAAGAAAATTAACTAAGGAGGCTAAAGAGGGCATTAACATACCAAAATCAATTATCAATAATAACCAAGTAAATATGTCATGTTGTTATGTGCCGTCGAGTCATCTCGGACTCATAGCGACCCCTCCTTGGGTTTCCGAGGCAGTATCACTACTGAAGTAAATTGCCCAACCTTCCTTCCGAGGAGTGGCTTGTGGGTTTGAACTTCCAGCCTTCTGGTTAGCAGTCAAGTGCCTTAGGCAATACGCCACCAGAGCTCCCCAAATATGTCATAGATAATAAAAACTTATATCATAATAGCAACAAATGCTTAGAAATAAACCAAATAAAATAAACAAATCCTTTAGAGTCTTTGGGCGGTGCAAACGGTTAACATGTTCTCCTGCTAACCAAAAGATTGGCAGTTTGAATTCACCCAGAATTCATTCAGAAGAAAAGCCTGGTGATCTACTTCTGAAAAAGCAGCTATTGGAAATTTTTTGGAGCACAGTTCTACTCTGACCCACAAGGGGTCGCCACAAATTGGAGTCACCTCAGTGGCAACTGTTTCTTTCTTTCTTTTTTTCTTTTTTTTCCTTCCTAAATTAATATAAAATAATAGGAAATATTTTTGTAGTGCTAACATGTGCCAAAGGAGCTCTAGTAGTGTAGTGGGCAAGACATTCATCTGCTAATCAGGTCAGCAGTTCAAACCTCCAGTTGCTCTGTGGAAGTAAAATGAGGCAATCTGCTTCCATAAAGATTTATAGCCTTCAAAACTCAATGGGGGTCGCTATGAGTGCGAATCAACTCAGTGGCAGTGGGGGGATATGTGTCAAGCAAATGCTAACCAGAAGGTTGGTGGTTCAAACCCACCAGCCACTCCATGGAAGGAAGACTAGGCAATCTACTTCCCTAAAGATTTACTGCCTTGGAAACCCAAAGAGGGTCGCTATGAGTCAGAATTGACTCAACGGCAGTGAGTTTGGTTTTTCACACATTTAATCATAACACTTTGAAGTGGATACTCTTGCCATCCCCATTTTACAGATGAAGAAACTGAGGCACTGAGATGTTAAGCCATTTGACCAAGGTCTCAAGCTACTAAATGATGTTGCCAGTATTCAAACCCTGGCTCCAAAGTCTGTGCTTCTATTCTTCACATGTACCTGCCTCTCTGTATTTTTAATACAAATCCAGTCAAATTTTCATTACAACTTTTACAAAATTTGACATTTCAAAGAGAAAATGCACAAGAAGAGAATAAAAAATATTAAAGAGGTGATAAAAGAACCAATGAGAAGATATGTAGGCTCACCATCAAGGCACACTCTGAGGCTTTACTCATTGAAACAATCAGCATTGGTCCAGAAAGAGATCAATGGATATATGGAATGGGAAAAAGAATCTGGAAGTAGGCCAACATATGTGTATATGGGAATTTAGTATATCATGAAGGTATGGTAAAGGTGGCATTTCAGGTGAGGGAGCAATGAGGAGACTATTCATTAAATCATGTGGGAACAGTTGGCTCTCCATCTGGAGAGGAAATTAAATTAGATCCCTACCTCACAATACATACCAAAATAAAGTGAATTGAAGAGCTAAACACACAAAAGTACTAGAAAAAATAGAGCAGCATACTTTCAAAATTTTAAGACAATAAAGAGAGTTTTAAATTATAGTACATCCATACTATTGAATATTCTGCAGCAATTAGAAAGAATGAAGTAAATCTACACATAATAGCGTGGAATGATCTCCATGAAATATTGTTTAGTAAATGTGTAGCTTGCAAAGTAATATGAACCAATTTATGTTTTTTAGCTATGTAATTTATACATGTACGTATAAGTGTTTGTAGAATTGAAAAAAGATCTGGAAGGTCACACTATTATGAGCATTTGGGAGGCAAAGGGATGAGATGGACTTTTATTTTTCCTCAACATATTTTTTTATTATTTATAAGAAGGTATTCATGATTTAAAGGCATAAAAATTTAAAAAATTAAATCAAAAGTAAGCTAAGTTATTACATACCCAAACCATTTCCAGAATCCTTGGAACACGGAGTAAGCAGCAACTAGTGTGAAAACTGCTGACCCAGAGCCAGGATAGAGATAGACTGCAGGCCTGTCCGGTGATTACTTCCCTATGTCTGACAATTGTTCATAACTCATATTCACACAATCCTAGGGGAGCATCTAGTATAATACCCTCCTTTTGTAAACTGAGGAAATTGAGGCACTGTGAATGAGAGACTCCAGCAATCCTGACTCCCAGTTCAGTGATCCTTCTACCAAATCACTCTGCCTGCCCTTAAAAAGTATGGGTGTGGTGATTCTGGGCAAACTGCAGAAGGAGCTGCAGGGGTTGGGCAAGCACTCACTCAGTGTAATGAACTGCAGTGTTTCTGTGTATCTGTAAGGGCTTATATAAAAGATGCTCCACATGAGAAATTCTCTACTTCTGAAAGTTCTAGAAGTCTAAGGTCCCTCACTTCCTGTCCCTTACTTGTTTTTTTCTTAATTGCCTTTCAGATGTTATCTGAAAACACTCTTTACAACCTCAAAAAGGAATTCTAATTTCTGTTCTCAGTTCACTTCTAGTTCTGCTTTTTCTAAACAACTGTAAAGGGTGCAGAGATGACACTGTTTAAACAGTGAAACAAGCATTTTTAGTGTGTTCATAGGTTCCTAGAGGACACCATCAACTTATTCACAGAGAGGAACTACTAATGGTCCTAATGAAGTCGACTGAATGTTGCCAAATATTAGCCTTGAGAAAAAGAGCTACTAATAAAGAAGTTAATAAAGGAAAACAGTCTTCAAGGAACTCACAATTTCAGCCTCCACAACGGAATTTTGATGAAGATTTGAATTTATCTGAATTGCTTTCATAATATCTACAATCTGAAATAATACTTAAATCATGTCTGTTTACACAGTTGACAAAATTAAAGCACCTCTCCTTTTCTTTATTTTTCAATCTGTGGTTCCTTTCAAATTTTGATCCATGTATATAAATACTTCTTTTTTTCTTCACCCAAGTTAAATGTGTCTATCCTCTAGTTAGTAGTTTATACTCCCTTCCCCACCCACTCCTGGTAACCATCAAAGACTATTTCTTTTCTCGTGAAACCCTTTTCCTGACTTTTTACAATAGTGGTCTCATGTAATATTTGTCCTTTTGTGATTGACTAATTTCGCTCAGCATAATGTCCTCTAAGTTCATACATGTTATGAGGTGCGTGATAGTTGGAGCTGCGTGTCAACTTGGCTGGACCCCACACTTTGCTGGTTTTTGTGTTTCTCTAGAGAACCCAGTCTAACATAAGAGTTTCACAAATCCATCATTGTTCCTTAATGTTCTATAGTATTCCATTGTGTGTAATTATCATAGTTTGTTGGTCCATTCCTCCACTGATGGGTATTTAGGTTGTTTCCATCTTTTTGCTATTGTGAATATTGCTGTGATGAACATGGTTGTGCATGCTCATGTCACAGCTCTTATTTCTCTAGGATATATGCCTAGTAGCAGCAACTTCTTTTCTTAAACCACTTATTGAACTGAATTTTATAAAAAATACAATCTAGCCAAATACTTCTAATGTGATCAGATTAAAATCCCTTATTATCAACAAAAGTTTTAAAACAATAATGATCACCTTTCATTAAGCTTTGACTATGTTCCAAATATTGTGTTAAGCTCTTCATGACCGTTATCTCATTCAATTCTCTATTAAGTAGCTACTCTTAGTCTCCTTTATAGAACTGAGCAAGCTGAAGATGAGTGAGTTAAGTAACTTGCCAAGATCACACAGCAAGTAGTGGAGCCAAACTTGGGTATACCTGCCACCAAAGCCCAGGCTCTCAACTGCTGCCTGCAGTGCCTCCTTCTCCATCAATGTTAGCTCTAATTCTAACTCCAGGACAGCAGATAGATGTCTCCATTATGTGGTCTCATCTACTTTTCATATTCTATATAACTTTCAGAAAATTCAAAAACAATGAATCAGAGCTTACCTTCTAACCAGGAATGTGCAGTCAGCCAGTACTGGAGGTCTAAGAAATGGAGACAAGTTTTCCTGCTATACTTTCTGACAAATCAGCACCTAATCTCCCAATTCAACAACACTGAGGGAAGTAAAGCGTTGGCAGAAGATTAAAGCTAAACACAAGGAGTTCCCAGAAAGCTCCTCCCTTTACTGAGTTCTCCCAAACACAAAGAAGAGTTGGGGACAATAAGGATTTAACAAGATTTTTCAGGTCATCCGTATGCTAATCATGCCTGTTTGTAGATCTGTCAGGAGGGTTACAAGGCTTGGGGTGGGTCACTGCAGCCGGAGAAAATTAT